AAATTAAAAATGAAAGGGGAGAGATCACGACTAACACCAAGGAAATAGAAACAATTATTAGAAATTCTTATCAACAACTATATGCCAATAAACTGAGCAATCTGGATGAAATGGAGGCCTTCCTGGAAACCTATAAGCTGCCAAGACTGAAACAGGAAGAAATCGACAACCTGAATAGGCCAATAACCAGTAATGAGATTGAAGCAGTGATCAAAAACCTCCCAAAAAACCAGAGTCCAGGGCCTGATGGATTCCCTGGGGAATTCTACCAAACATTCAAAGAAGAAATAATACCTATTCTCCTGAAGCTGTTTCAAAAAATAGAAACAGAAGGAAACCTTCCAGACTCATTCTATGAGGGCAGTATTACCTTAATCCCCACACCAGGCAAAGACCCCATCAAAAAGGAGAATTTCAGACTGATATCCCTGATGAATATGGATTCCAAATCCTCAACAAAATCCTAGCTAATAGGATCCAACAATACATTAAAAGGATCATCCACCACGACCAAGTGGGATTTATCCCCGGGATGCAAGGGTGGTTCAACATTCACAAATCGATCAGTGTGATAGAACACATTAATAAGAGGAGGGAGAAGAACCATATGGTCCTCTCAATTGATGCAGAAAAAGCATTTGACAAAATACAACATCCTTTCCTGATTAAAACTCTTCAGAGCATAGGGATAGAGGGAACATTCCTCAAGCTCATAAAATCCATCTATGAAAAACCCACAGCGAATATCATCCTCAATTGGGAAAAGCTGAGAGCCTTTCCCTTAAGATCAGGAACATGTCAAGGGTGCCCACTCTCACCACTGTTGTTCAACATAGTACTAGAAGTCCTAGCAACAGCAATCAGACAACAATAAAGAAATAAAAGGTATTCAAATTGGCAAACAAGAAGTCAAGCTCTCTCTTTTCACAGACGACATGATACTTGATGTGGAAAACCCAAAAGACTCCACCCCCAAATTACTAGAACTCATCCAGCAATTCAGTAATGTGGCAGGATACAAAATCAATGCACAGAAATCAGTTGCTTTCTTATCCACTAACAACACAACTGTAGAAAGAGAAATTAGAGAAATGATTCCATTTACAATAGCACCCAAAACAATAAGATACCTCAGAATAAACCTAACCGGAGAGGTAAAGGATCTATACTCTAGGAACTAGAAAACACTCGTGAAAGAAATTGAAGAAGACACAAAAAGATGGAAAAATACTCTATGCTCATGGATCGGAAGAATAAATATTGTTAAAATGTCTATGCTAACCAGAGTAATCTAGACCTTCAATGCCATCCCGATCAAAATTCCAATGACATTTTTCAAAGTGCTGGAACAAACAATCCTAAAATTTGTATGGAAGCAGAAAAGACCCCGAATCGCCAAGGAGATGTTGAAAAAGAAAAACAAAGCTGGGGGCATCAAGTTGCCTGATTTCAAGCTATATTACAAAGCTGTGATCACCAAGACAGCATGGTACTGGCACAAAAACAGACATACAGACCAATGGAACAGAATAGAGAACCCAGATATGGACCCTCAACTCTATGGTCAAGTAATCTTTGACAAAGCAGGAAAAAACATGCAATGGAAAAAAGACAGTCTCTTCAATAAATGGTGCTGGGAAAATTGGACAGCCACATGCGGAAGAATGAAACTCGACCATTCTCTAACACCATTCACAAAGATAAACTCAAAATGGATGAAAGACCTCAATGTGAGACAGAAATCCATCAAAATCCTAGAGGAGAACATAGGCAGTAACCTCTTTGACATCAGCCACAGCAACTTCTTTCAAGATACATCTCCAAAGGCTAGTGAAACAAAAGCAAAAATGAACTTTTGGGACTTCATCAAGATAAAAAGCTTCTGCACAGCAAAGGAAACAGTCAACAAAGCAAAGAGGCAACCCACAGAATGGGAGAAGATATTTGCATATGACACTACAGATAAAGGGCTGGTATCCAAGATCTATAAAGAACTTCTCAAACTCAACACCCAAAAAACAATAATCAAGTCAGAAAATGGGCAGAAGACATGAAAAGACACTTCTCTGAAGAAGACATACAAAAGGCTAACAGACACATGAAAAAATGTTCATCATCATTAGCCATCAGGGAAATCCAAATCAAAACCACATTGAGATACCACCTTACACCAGTTAGAATGGCAAAAATGGACAGGGAAAGAAACAACCAATGTTGGAGAGGTTGTGGACAAAGGGGAACCCTCGTACACTATTTGTGGGAATGCAAGTTGGTACAGCCACTTTGGAAAACCATGTGGAGGCACCTCAGAAAATTAAAACTAGAGCTACCCTCTGACCCAGCAATTGCACTCCTGGGTATTTACCCCAAAGACACAGATGTAGTGAAAAGAAGGGCCATATGCACCCCAATGTTCATAGCAGCAATGTCCACAATAGCCAAACTGTGGAAAGAGCCAAGATGTCCATCGACAGATGAATGGATAAAGAAGATGTGGTATATATACACAATGGAATATTATGCAGCCATCAGAAAGGATGAATATCCAACTTTTATATCAACATGGATGGGACTGGAGGAGATTATGCTAAGTGAAATAAGTCAAGCAGAGAAAGTCAATTATCATATGGTTTCACTTATTTGTGGAACATAAGGAATACCATGAAGGACGTTAGGAGAAGGAAGGGAAAAATGGGGGGGCGAGAATTGGAGGGAGAGATGAACCATGAGAGACTATGGACCTGAGAAACAAACAGGGTTTTAGAGGGGAGGGGGGATTGGTTAGCCCGGTGATGGGCATTAAGGAGGGCAGGTACTGCATGGAGCACTGGGTGTTATACGAAAACAATGGATCGTGGATCACCACATCAAAAACCAATGATGTATTGTATGGTGACTAACATGACATAATAAAATTAAAAAAAAAAACCACTCTGAATTCACACACACCACAACTCAACCTGTGCTACGGACACTCTACACACCCACACCAACTTCCTACCAACACCGTGAACATTCAGAGGCGTTCACACAACCCCAGCATGTACACAGGCTGCACCTCACTGGCACACACATGCACACAGAGCTCCAACCTCATGATGAGAACAGCTCTTCTGAGGGGCTGCCTACATCACACCCAGTCTGGACATTTCCATAAAGACCCGAGCTCAGAATTCCCACCCCAAGCTCCCACTCTGCTTTTCCTAGGGCATCCTTACAAGTAACCACTCAAGAGGTCAGCCCACGAAAAGTTAGTGACAGCCACCCCAACCACCTGTAAGTACTCAGTGCTTGCTACCCTGCTCTCTATGTCCAGCTTGCTCTGACCTGAGACAGAGAACTGCCCTTCTACTGCTCACCGCACACACCAGGATCTCTAAGTAAATCTTGTGACTCTACTTCCTTTGTGGGGGGCTCTACTGAAACTGTGTCTTCGCTTCCCCAAAGTGGGAATGCAGGTGCCAAGGGAGCTCCCTCCTTCAGCAGGTCATACCTTGCAGGTTCTCAATACAGCATGCCAGCTCGGGGCCCCCAACACACCTCAGCACCACATGCAAGGGCCATCCTGACCTCCCTTGGGCACGAGCACAAACCTCCACACTCCCTGACTCCACGCACACAAACTCCATGTTTGCACACACCAACACTCACAACCGCAACACGTACATACACAATTGCCACCACCTTGAAGACACTCACACACTCAGAATCTATGTAAAGAAACTGCTGTAAGCTGTAACAGGCAGGAGTCTGGTGGCAATGGCACATGTCCCGAGTTGACAAGAGCGCCTTTGGGAGACAGTGTCAGCCCCCACCTCCCTCAGGGATGGCGGCAACTACAGCGAGTGACCTTGCCTGGGGGCACCCCTTTCCAGGAAGGTGTTTGTCTCAAGGGAGGCCTGGCTGATTTCCTCCAACTGAGGACAGCTCTGAGAGACAGTGTAGCTCCTCAACTCCAGTAGGAAAAGCAGAGGTTGTTCTGGAGTCTGGCTGAGAGACCATTCTGCCCAATTCTTTCTGTTTCTATCCTCACAGGTGCTGTTTAATAAACATCCTTTTCCCTAAACTCTGTGTCTGGTTCTGTGTTCCAATGAATCCAAACTATGACAATTACTTATCAAGCATCAATGAACACAGTAAAGACCCGTCTTCTGGCTCTTACGTTCCAGGGGCAACAAGAGATAATAAACACATGGCTATATCATGGATTCGGATGCACGCACGTACAGTCATCCGATGTCCAGTCAGGACTGTGATGAAGGACTCTTGAACTCTTCAGATGGAAGTGGGAGAAGGTGCAAACACAGATTTGAAAGTCAGGACATGTTTGTTGTTCAAAGCATGAGAAAGGTGCAGGAAGGACCTAGACTGCTGACCTCCAAGCTACCATTCTCTCAGCGTCCCCAACTACCAGCAGCCACAGGAGTGGAGTCTAGCTGAGGAGCGAGGGTGGGGGACTTCATCTCCTGACCTGTTCCCTCCCCCTCTACCAGTAGAGTCAAAGCCCGCCTCCAGCCCCATCCTGAGTCCCATCCTCTCCCTGCTCTGTTCCTAGTGTCCCACTGAAACTTTTCTGCTTTTCCCAGTCTCTGTAGGCTGTAAGCCTCCTCCCTTGGGCCCTAGCAGACATCAGAACAGGGTCCTTTACGTGGAGAAAGAGTAATACTCTTACACTGTTGGTGGGAATGCACCTGGTGCAGCCACTCTGGAAAACAGTATGGAGGCGCCTCACAAAGTTGAAAATAGAGCTACCCTATGACCCAGCAATTGCACAACTGGGTATTTACCCCCAAAACACAGATGTAGTGAAAAGGACGGGCACATGCACCCGCAATGTCATTGTCCAGGTCAGGTCAGAACGGGGGTCCTTGGAGACACCCCAGACTCAGACCATCGTCCTTACTCAGGCCCCCCTCAGCTGGAGTGCTCCAGGGGCCCTCTGTGGGGGTGCCTCATGTCCCGCACCCCTCTTCGTGGCAGCCTCTGTGCTGGAGACCAGCATGCCTGCCTCGGCCTTTGGGGGCCCCCAGGCTGGCAAGGGAGGCTTGGCCCCAGGCCTTCCAGCCCCAGCCCCGCCCCTGGCTGCCCAGCCGACCCCCATCCTGCCCCCAGTGAACGCCGGGCCACAGCCTCACGGGGCTTCCAGGGAGGGCAGCCTGGCCAGGAGCTCGACCACGGCCTCGCCCGAGGACTCCTGTAACCCCAAGAGTGTTTACGAGAACTTCAGGCGCTGGCAGCGCTTCAAGTCGCTGGCCCGGAGGCACCTCCCGCAGAGCCCCGATGCAGAAGCTCTCTCCTGCTTCCTCATGTGAGTGTCCCCCGCTCTCCTGCAGCTCCCACGCAGGACGACCTTGGGGTGCGCACACGGGGCGGTGACCCAGGGGCGCTGGGAGGAAGGTGTGGGGCCGGGTCCGTGCTCTGGGAAGACACATTCTGGTCCAGGACACCTTTCAGTCACCCACCTCAGCGGAACCCCAACCCTCGGGGAGTCCAGCCAACCTTTACCTTCCAGAGGCATCACGGTGGCATTCGGGGGGCACTCACAGGCGGAGAGGGTCCCGGTGTCAGGAGGAGCCATGGTTTGGGTGCCGGGCTCTCTGCCATCCTGGCTCCTGGGAACACAGGCTGGGGCGTCTCATGGCCAGGGGCCGGCACATCAGAGGAGGCTCGGGACCTGCAGGGCCCAGCAGAGGCCGCGTACGGCCCCCCCCTCGTTGTCCCGGAGGATTCCAGTCAGGAGGGGAGGGGGCAGAGCTGGTGAAGGGGTGAGGGCGTGGATCCCTCCTGCCGAGCTGTGACCCGGCAGGCCTGGCCGTGGCATCTGGGGCCCCTCCTGAACACGGGGCGACGGCACTTCCTGCAGAGGCCTGGGCTCGTTGCCGGCAGTCACCTGCCAGCACGCGGTCATGCTGGGGCGGGGGGCCGCGGGCTCCAGAGGAGCGGGGGCGGCTGGGGGTGACGGACTGCAGCCGGCCCCTGACCCCGACGGCTTGCAGCCCGGTGCTGCGGTCCCTGGCCCGCCTGAAGCCCACTATGACGCTGGAGGAGGGAGTGTGGCGGGCCGTGCAGGAATGGCAGCGCAGAAGCAACTTCGACCGCGTCATCTACTACGAGATGGCAGGAAAGTGAGTCGGGGTCTCTGGCCCGGGGCTGCGGGGTGCGAGGGCCGGGCCGAGGGCAGGGTCTGCCTGTGCTGATACTCACCACAGGGGGCCACCCTCCCCTGCCCCCCTGGGAGTTCCACCCTCCCCTGATCGGGACCCAGCCCTGCCTCCATGGGAAGGTCTTGGGAAGGGCTGGAGATCCTGAGAGCCCCTCCCCTGGGGTGGGACTCCCTCCGCGGGGGCTGTGGAGGGGATGTGCTGGACAGCCAGCCGGCTGCCTCCTTGGTGGCCGGGGCCACGGCCGCCCCTCCAAGGCACTGCCTCTCCCGGTTCCTCAACCGGCTGCTGGCTTTGCGGGCTCCAGGGCCGGGTCCCCTCCTCAGTGCGGCCCGGGCCTCCTCACCCCCAGGTTCATGGAGTTTGAGCTGGAGGAGGAGATGCAGATTCAGAAGTTGCAGTGGCTGAAGGTGGCCCAGGGCCTGCCTCCTCCAGCTCCGCCGAAGCCTGAGCCGCGGGGGCCCCCAGCCCCAGAAGCGGGCCCACAGCCAGGTACGGCCCCCATGTTCCATGGCAGCTGTGGCCCATGGCAGCGGGGACCGAGGGAAGGCCACTGCCCCCATATGGGTCTTCTCCTTCAAGTGGACATTGGTCTTTTGACCAGAACAGCCACCAAGAGCCTGGGGCCTCAGCTGCCCTTTGTCAGGACAGGTGTTGACCGGGTGAATTTCTTCACTACTCTCCCCCCTCCTGTTAGGGGACCCAACACAAAGTCTGCCGGGAGAGTGGGCTGTGGGGAGACCCTTGGAGGATCGGCGGGTCCACACTTGCTCACGCGTATCGCTCTGAGACTCTCCGCCTCTCCCCTCTGCCTGTCCCACGGTGCCTGTGGCCTCGGGTGGCCGTGAGCCATCCCCCACTGACACCAGCGTCCCCCGATGCACTGCTGGAGCCCCTCACGCCCCCTCCCTCCTCCCGCTCCGCCCCAGCGTGCATTCGCAGGAAGGCGGGTTCCAGGGCCCAGCCCTCCCGCCTGCAGCCACACAGACCCCCACGGCCCCTGGAGAACAAGGCGCCCAAGGAGATCCCCCCTGAGGCCGTGAGAGAGTACGTGGACATCATGGAGGGGCTGCTGGGGCCTGGCCACTCAGCCCCGGGGGGGCCAGCCGGTGAATGGGGAGAGGACGGGAAGGAGCCACAGCAGGATGAGGCCACGACCTACCTGGACCCGGGTCTCCTGAGCTACATTGACAAGCTGTGTTCCCAGGAAGACTTCATCACCAAGGTGAGCTGGCCTGGTGTCTAGAAGAGTCCAGGGAGTGGCACTCCAGCACCCCGATCGGGGCTGGCCCAGGCCTTTGGCAGTAAGCTCTGTTTCTTGTTCCTGAGCTGTGTGTGTGCACGTGTGTGTGTGTGTGTGTGTGTGTGTAGCCAGTGACTGTGATGTTAAAACCTCCTACCTTGTGGAGAAGGATGGGTGGGTCTTCACTTTTCCACGTTTCCTGCAGGTCCCCCTGGCCCCCAGGTGGCCCCCTGCCAAGCATGCAGGGGATTTTGAGAGAATTCGGAGCAGGAGGAAGGACTCACCCTTGCAGAGGTGAGCCAGGGGAAGGAGAGAGGGATGCCAGGTGAGCCAGGGGAGAGAGGGGACCCAGGTGAGCCATGAGAGAGGGCACCCAGGTGAGCCAAGAGAGAGAGGGGACCCAGGTGAGCCAGGGGAGGGAAGGGACTCAGGTGAGCCAGGGGAGAGAGGGCACCCAGGTGAGCCAGGGGAGGGAAGGGACTCAGGTGAGCCAGGGGAGAGAGGGCACCCAGGTGAGCCAGGGGAGGGAAGGGACTCAGGTGAGCCAGGGGAGAGAGGGCACCCAGGTGAGCCAGGGGAGGGAAGGGACTCAGGTGAGCCAGGGGAGAGAGGGCACCCAGGTGAGCCAGGGGAGGGAAGGGACTCAGGGGAGAGAGGGGATCCAGGTGAGCCATGGGACGGAGGTGGACCAAGGTGAGCCATGATAGCGAGGAGACCCAGGTGAGCCGGGAGAGGGAGGGGTCCCAAGTGAGCCAGGGAGAGATGGGACCCAGGTGAGCCATGAGAGAGGGCACCCAGGTGAGCCAGGAGAGAGAGGGGGCCCAGGTGAGCCATGGGATGGAGGTGGACCAAGGTGAGCCATGATAGTGAGGGGACCCAGGTGAGCCAGGAGAGGGAGGGGTCCCAGATGAGCCAGGAGAGGGAGGGGTCCCAGGTGAACCAGGGGAGGGAGGGGACCCAGGGGAGCCATAGGATGGAGGTGGACCCAGTTGAGCCAGGGGAGGGAAGGGACTCAGGTGAGCCAGGAGAGGGAGGGGTCCCAGGTGAGCCAGGAGAAGGAGGGGACCCAGGTAAGCCAGGGGAGGGGGGGGTCCCAGGTGAACCATGGGAAGGAAGGGACCCAGGTGAGCCAGGAGAGGGAGGGGTCCCAGGTGAACCAGGAGAGGGAGGGGTCCCAGGTGAACCAGGGGAGGGAGGGGACCCAGGGGAGCCATAGGATGGAGGTGGACCCAGGTGAGCCAGGGGAGGGAAGGGACTCAGGTGAGCCAGGAGAGGGAGGGGTCCCAGATGAGCCAGGGGAGGGAGGGGTCCCAGGTGAACCATGGGAAGGAAGGGGCCCAGGTGAGCCACGAGAGGGAGGGGTCCCAGGTGGCCCAGGGGAGGGAGGGGACCCAGGTGAGCCAGGGGAGTGAAAGGACCCAGGTGAGCCAGGGGAAAGAAGCTTCACAAGTGAGCCGGGGGGTGGGGGCAGAACAAAGGCCCACATGACTCTTCCCCCTTCCCTTCTTGCGAGTCCCAGCACTGGGGAGGCCAGCTCCGGGTGGGTACAGAGCAGAGCATGGGAAGGGGAAGATAGGGAGCCTGGGAAGGGAGGGAGGGACTCAGGAGGATGTCAGGAGAGCCACAGCCTCGTGGGTCACCCCTCCCCTCCTCTCCCAGGGCCACCGTCCCACCTACCCGTCTCATACCCCTGTGCTGGCCAGTCACTGTCCCCTCCTTCCTCTCAGCTGGTGAAGAAAAGACTGGTGGCCTTGAAGGCGGAGGAGGGTGTGCAGGCAGCCCCCCGTCACTGCGCAGCCCGGTCGGGCCCTGGTCCTGAGTGTCAGGCCGGTCCCGGGCTGGGGCTGGGGGTCAGCGGCAAGGCCTGCCCAGCAGAGACTGACGGCCAGGACCTTCAGAGGCACAGCCAAGCACACACACACCTGTCCAGGCCCAGAGCCTTTGCTCTCTCTCCCGGAAGGCAGGAGTCCCCTGCACCCCCGGCCGGATGGCCCCCCTCCGCTCCCCAGGGTCAGAGGTGCACCTCCGCTCGACCAGGCCCCAGGGACGCGCCCGTTCTCAGGGAGGCCCCTCCTGCTCGGGACACTCGAGGGCCAGCGGACGGGTCCAGTGAGGACGAGGAGGAGCTCCCCAGCCTGGCCTTCCTCCTGGCCTCTCAGCACAGCCTGCTGCCCTGGGGGCTCTCCCAGAGTCCCGCTCCTGCCTCGGGCCTCCCCAGCCCTGGAGCTCGGGGGCTGCGGGGGGCTCCCCGGGCCCCCTCCCCTCAGAGGATAGGCCTCAGCCCGGCCACCCCCCCAGCTACCAAGTCCAGGAAGCGCGCTCTGTGTGGGGGCCCAGCCCCTGCTGGGAAGACGCCCCTCCCTGGGGCCAACCTCAGGGGCTCCGCGAGGCCGGCCTTGGCCGTGGGGCTGGTTCACCCCTCACAGCCTGCAAAGAGAAGGTGTGACTCCTTCGTCACGGGCAGGAGGAAGAAGCGGCACTGTAGCCAGCAGGGAGCAGCGGGCCCGGCCTCCAGGGCCGGTGGACCCCAGGGCTCCTCCTCATCCCGGTGCTGAGCCTGGCTGTGGGGCTCAGGGAGGGGGGCATGACTGTGGGGGCGGGGTGGCGGCCGCCCACTGGGGCACTGTGTGTACATTGGGAATAAAGATGGTTTTTCTGGGAAATGTTCGGGGCCGCTGTCCTCCTGCTGGCATCCGAGCTGCTCCGTGGAGAGAGCCCCCCCATGGAGAGGGGCCTCCTGGGGCTCCCGTCACCATCGGGACCCCTGAACGTCCGGGGATGGGGAGCCCGCTGCACCACGACCGTTTCTGAGAATGGAGTCTGCAGACAGCCCCGTCTTCGGGGGCTCCCTTCCGCCTCCCCGAAGCGTCCAGCCACGGGGCTGCCGGGCTGGCGACCCTCAGCCCCTCCAGGGCTCCCTGTGTGGGGGCCTGAGCAGACAGGCTCTGGGCCGCTGGCCTCGTGGTGGGAGGAGCGTCTTCCAGTCCCAGTGGGATCATTGAAATAGGAGGGACAGTGGGGGATCCTCCTAATCCCAGTGAGGACGGACACGGGGCATGGATGAGGGGAGACTCGGGGGCACTGGCCACGGTGCACACAAGAACCCCAGTGGGGGGCAGACGCCGAGTCCCTGGGTGGGATTTCTGGGCCAGACCGACTTCTGCAGCCATGCGAGGGGCCCACCTTGCTGTGGACGCAGAGCGAGGGGCGCTGGCCAGGTTCCCTGGGTCTGCAAGGACACCCCACACTTACTGCCTCCCTTCCCTCCCTCGAGGGACCCCCCTGTGAACAGATGTGGACACAGCCTCGCATTCTCACGTGAAACGGTTCCTACAAACAGACCCCAACCGCCATGCAGGAGCGCAGCCCACCACGGGAGCCGTGGGCCCAGGCGTCTGCAGCCCCAGGGCCGGGTGGGAGCTGGGCTCCAGGCCGAGGGGGGCCCTCCAGGGGCGCTGGCACAGACCCCACGCCAGATAGGCCATCTGCCCGGCTCGTGACAGTGAGATGAGCCGACACTGAGGGACAGGAGCTCCGCGGGGAAGAGACCCTGCTGCTCCCACAACTGCCCGCCCCCCCAGTCTGCTCACCTCCCCTCATGGGTGAGCTGGTGCCCTCCAGCCCCTAGCCCCGCCCCGCCCATATGCTCTGATCCCAGGAGCAAGCACCCGGACCCTCACCCTCCTCCCTCCCAGCCAACGTCTCCTCCCCAGGTTCTAGGTTCTGATGCCCTTTCCAGGTTTGGCCGAGGCCCCCACAGCGCTCACCCCTCACAGATGTGCCGTCCCTGCAGCAGCCCGGGGCTAAGGCCATCCGGGTCCAAGGGACACCTGGCCCTCTGCTTGCCCCCATCCCCCCCCACCCCCCACAGCAAAGAGCTCAGGGAAGAAAGGAACTCATGCCGGGGTCCTCTTCCCGCTCCACAGAATCCACAGGCCACCCCACAGGTGCTCTTCCGCTGCCTTCGCTCCCTCCCAGGCAGGTGGCTCTGGAGTGCTCCCCACCCTCCTGCCCCTTCCTGAAGCAGAGGTTTCACCTTGGCCGCACTCCCCAGCGGCTGCCCCTCCCCGTCCAGCCGGGCCTCCCCAAGAGGGAGACGCGGACAGAGGTTGCCACCCGTGCGCGTCACCCCACTGTGTCCCTGTCCATGGCGTGCGCTCAGCAGGCGCTGGATGCTCACGGCGTGGGCGAAGATTCGCCTGTGCTCCTCGGAAAATCCAAGGTCGGTCCAATGGCAAGGAAAGGAAGTGGAGAAACGCTTCAGATTTTCACGGCAGCCGACCTTCCGCATCACAGAACAAGTTAGGAGAGGTGAAAGTTCGCAGGGACCGTGTGTCAGGGCAGAGTCGGGAGGGAGCTCCCGGTAAGTGGGAGGACTCTGCGGTGATGAGGAGGTCACCGCAGGGCCCCCGGGGAACTCGCGACGCGCACACAGAGCAGGGCCGGCTGTGCTCTGCGCCGTCCAGCGGGACAGCTCCCGGTCAGCTCGCTGGGTCTCCACAGAGAGCCTGCGGGAAGCAGGCCTCACGCTTTCCCGAGAGGACCGTGGGCTCTGGGAGGCCTGGGGACTGAGGGCAGTCACGGGGTGACCCTGTCAGTCGGCCCCGCGGGTTTGGCTGCAGATCCTCCTCCTGCGCCCCTAGGACGAGATCCAACAATGGAGTCATGGAGTCCTGGGGAATCCCTCGGATAGAGGAGCATTCCTGTCACCTTCTGAGGGCACCCGGGAAGGTCCGGGCCCCGTGACCCCCCTTCCGTGGCTGCAGGTCTGTTCATTCAGAGATGCGTGTGCCCCACAGGCCACTGTGCACTGGGTGGGAAGAGGAGAGCAGCCGGCTTGGGGAGTCTTGGCCAGGGCGCCCCCGTCCCCCCACACGCTGTGCTCGCCCAGCGGCTGATAACGGGGGAGCCCTGCCTGCGTCCACGCCTACTTCGATCATCCACCGTCCCTGGACACAGGTGTCACGGGAGGCTCCGGCAGAGAGAGATGGGGTCTGGGGCTGAGTATTCGGACAGAACGTGGGGCGAGCTGGAGTCAGTCCTGCTCGAGTATCTACTCTGGAGAGTCTGGGCTTGGAAAGTCCCCACTTGTGGGCCCCACGACCTACTTGTTGATGGGACCCTCCTCCAGACAGGCTGGCAGGAGACCCCATCACCTGGCACGTCTCCTGGGAGGGCCCTGGCCATGACTCCCTGAGTTCTGAGGGCCCGCTCCGTCCGGGATGCCTGTGTGCAAACCTGGGCCTTGGTGCTCATTTTAGTAAAGAATCTTGGGGTTAGGCTGTGCTGCCTGAGGGTTCCTTCTCCTTCCACCCCACAGTCTCTGAAGGTCAGAGTCCACCCTCATTCCATCATTTGTCCTTAGGAATGTCCTTTGTCTCGGTTCATTCTGAAGATCCTGTTTCAGGGACGTGTATTGTGTGAAAGTGTACAAGGTGTATGGACATTGAGAGATGTTTTCCACCCACAAGCACAATCTACAGAGGGGTCCCCAGTTTGTAGGGCTCCTAATTTATTTACCTTAGTCGATCCCGATGTGCAATCTGTTAGCAGGAAACTGACCAGATGCCGGTTCTCTCATGTTCCTTCCTAAAGCAGGGAAGGAGAGCCTCTAAGTCACTAGTCATACAACGCCCCATGGGGTCTCCAGGACCAGCTGCTGGACATGACCAGCCCCGCTCCATGATGTTTTATGTCTCCTCATATGAGTTGAGGTGACCCCAATGGGGTCCATAGATCACAGTCGGCCCACATTCATTCACACTCACTGCTTTTTTCCTTTTTCAATGAAAATGGGTAAAGTCATTAGGAATGTTTCAACCTTATATAAAAATGGGAAAATGCCCTAGAAAGCAGTGTAGAGAATATGTAGACACAGGGTTAGCATTGTGACATTTATGCTCCAGCTCAATTATAAAATAAAAACTCTATCAAGACATTTACATAGGATATAATTCACTCATTTAAAGTGTATGGTTTTATGGCTTTTAGCGTATAGAATTTGTAACCATTTCCACTATAAATTTTAGAACTTTTCATCAGCTCTGAAAGAAATCTTGCCCCCGTCACCGTCGTTCTGTCCTGTCATCTGGGCCTCAGCCCTCCACACCTGCTCATCCCCTCTGTCTCTAGAGACTCCTACCTTCTGGACTTCGGTATGATTGGAATTATATGACATGTGGCCTTTCACTCGGAATAATGTTTCCCAGGTCCGCCCACATGTTTGCAAACACTACCAATAGTATTCCGCCCTGTGGAGCCACCCCTAGTTGTCAAATCCATTCCTTAGCTGATGAACGTTTGGGTCGTTTCTACCATTTGGCTAATATGAAAATTCTGCTGTGAACATTTGTGTGGAAGTTTTTGTGGGGACGCATGTTTCATTTCTCATGGCTGTACACCTAAAAGGGGAAAGGCTGGGTCATGTAAAATCTCTATATTCTTTTTTCAAGAACCACCTGACTGTTTCAAAGTGGCTGCACCATTTTAAATGTTTCCACTCGCTGTGAACAAGGATTCCACTTTCCACATTCTAGCCAATGCTTGCTATCTTCTGGGGTTTTTTTTTAGGGTTTATTTATGAATTTATTTATTTGAGAGAGAGAGCGCACAGGGGAAGGAGCAGAGGGAAAAGCAGACTCCCTGCTAAGCAGGAAGCCTCGATTCTATGACCCTGAGATCATGACCTGAGCCGAAACCAAGAATTGGACACTTAAACAACTGAGCCACTCAGGCGCCCCTATCATCTTTTTTTTTTTTTTTTAGGATTTTATTCATTTATTTGACACAGAGAGAGCACAAGCTGGGGGAGCACAGAGGGAGATGCAGGCTCCCCACTGAGCAGGGAGCCCAACACCGGACTCGATGCCAGGACCCTGGGATCATGACCTGAGCTGAAGGCAGACACTCACCCAACTGAGCACCCCAGGCGCCCCCATCTGTCTTTTTGATAATGATCATCTTCGTGGTTCTGAAGTGACATCTCAGTGTGATTTGGGATTGCATTTCCCTGATGCTGAGCATCGTTTCATATGCTTATTGGCCATTTCTGTAACTTGTTTGGAGCAATGTGTCTTCATCCTTTGCCCATTCTTCATTGATTTGTCCTTTATTATTGAGTTGTAAGAGTTCTTTATATATTCCAGATAAAATCTTTTTTTCACTGATTTTTGACTACTTTAGATACTTCGTATCTAAAAGCCCCAGCTTTCCTGGGTTTCTGCCTCCACTTCCCTGACACCTGGGCCCTGCTCTCAGGAGCCTGCCTTTCTGTTATAGTCGTCTCACCAGCAGGGAGCAACGGGTTTTGCCCTGCTGATCTATACCCTCAGGGCAGGTATTTGCAGCCTGGCCTGGACACGGAACCCCAGAAGGACAGATGGAGGCCCAAGGGACAGACACCCCTGCCTCGGGACAGGTACATTCTCCCAGGAGGGGCTTTTCAAGGTCCCCTTTGGTCCCTGACCCCCACAGAGGTGCTGGCAGGTGCTCTCTGCCCGCCCTGGGCTCTGTGCACAGGGGACCTATAGCTCCACCTGCCACCCTGTGAGAAACAGGGCTGAGGAGGCTCGCCCTCTCTAAGATCCAC